ACAAAATTAAAATTGGCAAAATATTAAAATTTTACCATGCCAACAGCTGCAAGGTACTGTGGGAGACTTCCCTCCCAAGAATGCAGGGAACAATACTGTTCTAATCTACTTGCCAAGATACAGACCATTGTAATTTTAGCAATTTCAGAAATGGTAAACATAATCTAATGGCATTTCCCTGAACTAGATCCCAGATTTTTAAGTCAACTTCTACATCTCCTAGTCATGCATCATAAAAAACTGTATATATATTAACTCTACTCTTTACTTAGTATGAATGAATGCTCCCATAGCCACTTAGCGTGGGTCAATTAGTGTCCTAAAACAACACAGAATTTTATAAACATAATTAAAATATTTTTGCAAGAATAAATTTCACTGCAAGCAGGAAGGCTTGAAACAAAGTTTAGTACAATTTAAGTCCTACTGACTTAACTCCTCAAATATGAAGACTGAAAGAATATGTAAAATCTGTACACACTCAAAATACTGATAAATACATACTTCAGAGTACAGAATCATGAGCTGCACAGGATATCCTCAGCAAAATTATACAGCATAGCCCTAAAACTGGTGACTTGAGAAAAAAAAATATCAATCTTTTGCTGTTATATATCTTGCAAACTGAGAAGAAATAATAGATTCAGAAAACCGAACTGTAACTCGAAAGCTATAATAAAATCAAAGCTCAAACTGAACTTTTTCTATGAACTGATTTCTGATCCTATTAGACTCATCTTCATTTTTTTTAATACATCAAGCTAATAAGATCCACTCAAAATTCAGCTGTAGTATTGTTGATTTACAAATTAAATTAAAATTGCTGTTTCCTTGAAGGGCCATGAAACTGAGAAGGAGTCATCAAAATGCTCTGCAGATTATTCCAGTTAATATGGAAAAGCTTAATGATTTGTAATGAAAATGAGATTGGTCTCTAAAACCACTTGAGCATTTATGTTTACACAGACTTACTGAACTATTCAGATAAACTTCATACCTCATACGTGACTGTAAAAGGGGTAATGCAGCCTACACAAATGAAAAAGACATGATTTCTCCTGGGCAATGACACTGTATCTGTAATAAATTTAAATAAATCATCCTCACTAGGCTTGCAGTACTTTTGTAGAACATTTTGCTGACCAAAATCAAATGTCTTTCAGAAGACAAAACACAGGAGCAGTAGCAAACAAGCAGGAAAGCCAAACACAGTACATTATCACAACTTATTCTCAAATATTCCCACAATAAAAGAGAATTCATAAGGACTTGAAACAAAGTGCTGCTTTTAGGGAAAAAAACATTTTTTTCTTGTAAAACTTTCCAAGAGAACTTGCTAATGACACTTTTCTCCTTGTGCTAACACACAGGAAACTTAAACAGAATATATATAGATTTCCAATGCATCCTTCCATCCTAGTTCATTCCCATGCTATGGCAAGAAACAAGCATGAATCCTCCAAAACAAGAAACCAGACTTTTCATGTTGCATTGTTTTGTTAAGCTAGTTCTAGTACAGTATCACTGACATATTTCCAGCTAAATTGCTACTAAACAAGTAGACAAAATCACTTATGTTGGAATCATAAAGTCTAACTGTTAGCATAGGTGAGAAAGACTTGTTTCACCCTAAATAATAAAGACAAGACCCAAAAAATGAACTCAAAGGTAGCACAGGAGACAGAAGAAGCACAAGAAAACTTTTCTTGGAGGGAATCACAATCCTTTCTGAAAGTCATACACATACAGGAAAAAACACAAAAATACAATTAATATGTGCCTTTAAGAGTGAACTTTTATACAGTCAGATATATATGTGGATACTTTATATATACAATAGAAGTTGGACCAAAGAAAGAATAATGATGCAGTAGTCAGAATGTCAGCAATGAAGTTACAACCATGACAAGGCAGCTTCACACTTAAATGTGTTTCCATCTTTCTTATAAAATGATTTGATTAATAGTTTGTGGTAGCTAAAAGTATTTATTTGTGCTCTCTCTCCTGTCATAGCACTGATGAAAGGGGTATGGAGATGTGGAGGGTATGTAGGGTATTTTCTGATAGTTTTAGAAACATATAAAGCTTTAAAAAAGTCACTAAGAATAGACTAAGAATTGACTAAGAATAGACACATTTGCAAAAAGCACAAAGGAGATGTGTATGATCATAACTGTGCCCATTTTTTGTGATGAATTATGGTGCAGAATCTGAAGTTTGTACCAGAAACTGAATCAATACAGAAATACTTAATAGCAACACAAAGCTACTTAATTGGCTCTGCTGAGATGTAAGACTAACTGGAGGATGTCGAAGCTGCACCACTTTCTGCGCTCACGTCTCTCCAAAGAGCATGTGCTGGATGTGGCATTTCATCTGGTACTACTCTGGCACAGTGTCTTTCAGGGTGATCAACTGGGTAACATAAAAATGTTCTTAGTTCACCCTCCTTAGCAGCTGTGACAACCTTCATACTTCAGCCTTCATACTACAATTAATCATGACATGTTCTTGCTTGGAAAAAACTATGGTCTTTTCAGTCTTCCCTTCAGTATCTAATGAAAGAGTGTTGTTTTTCCCATCTTTCTTGATGCCCCTTCAGTATGAAGTCATGCAGGATTCCTCTGTGGATATACCATCATTTCATCTATAAATCTATAGACAGACTAAGGGTCTTGGATTCATAGATCACTGGCAAGATCTACTAGACGACTGCTCACACTAGCACTCTTCAGCTCTGGACTGAAGTCACAATTTTTCTCACCCTCCACGTAAGAGCCAGTACCAGATGGAGTCCAAGGCCCAGGCAGAGCACACCAGCTCTGGAATGCTTTGTTAAGGAAAAGCATGTCACCATCTCTCTGATGGGAGCACTAGAGCCCATTTGTCTCCACTGATCCAGGGCAAGCTGGAGTCTCTTGTTCCAGCTGCTTTGTTGAGGATATCACAAGCATTCCTCTCATCCTACCTTCATTATTTCCTGTTTGACCAAATTCTCAAAGGAATTACTTTTTCCAAGCATGCACTTGTGGATCTTAAACAGATGGATATAACACTGTATTTGACTCTGCATTGCTGAAATGGGTGTCAGGTCAGCAGAATAAAATTAAGCAGAATTTTTCCCTTTGGGGATATATCTGGGGTGTTTCTAACATGAATTAATCTACTAAACATTTACAAAAAAAACCCAAAAAACCAGAAAATACCAAGATGTGTGTGTGTGTGTAGAACTAAATGAGGGTAATAGGGAAGAAAGGAGTAGAAAACAAAGAAAAAGTGTGCAAGTACAGTACGCTAACTTCAGGTTCCTGAATTTCAACTGCAGCACAAGTTAAACATTGACTAAAAACCAAGAGAAATGTCCAGGTAAAACACTCATTGATCAAGCAATCAATAAGCTGGTAGCATTACATGGATTAGGTGGCCCAAAGAAAGCTCAAGTGTCCCAGAGATTCTCCCATGTTGTCAGCTTTGCTCTCCTTGAGGAAAACAATCAAAGACTCAAGAATTCAATGCCTAGAATTCATTATACATTACATTAGTTTCCCAAAAAACAATTACCCCAACACATAGCTGTAGTTGATCTGAAATTGAAACATAAGTAGAAACAGGTTTTAATCTATTCCACACTTTTGACATGGAAATATCAGGCATCCAGAATCTTTGCCATTGTGCTTTAAAAAGTTTTACAAAGGTCTTCATAAAGGGACCACCTTCCTTCAGCAGTGACATATTAAGGAAAAATTGCTAAAATTAAGAGAAACACTCATTGCAATGTTAAGAAGGAAAACCAATTGTCCTCAGTGCAAGGGAGCTCAAGACAGAACTTGAGTTTTCCCACCACTTGCCTCCTCTCCACAAAGAAAATCTCTACCTTAGTTATTTGCCTTATATTTGACACATCTGTAGCTTCAAACTCTCACAATGCAGAGCTGTCATCCATGTATCCAAGAATGTTTTTTGCTGATGCCACCACTTTCCTAAGTATCAGGATGTACAGATGTCAGGAGTGGAATGTCTGATTTTCTGAGTCCCAGAATTATTGTTTTAGAACATAACTACTACCATTACAGACAGTAGGCAGGCTCACATGGACTGACTCTGGCATACAATCTTAACTGTTGCATTAATGGAAAACCTTAAACTAGTTCAGAGAAAAACAGTAAGCATGTCATCATAGAACTTTAAATTGCTATCGATTCTTCAGAATATCACTCTCCCAAAAGAATTGTATTCAGGGAAGAATATTTTTTTTAAGCCCTTTTTTATTTGTTTCTTCTGTGTTAGGCTACCAATCTACTGGCAGTGTCCAGCTCGATGTGAATGCAAGGGTGGAGTATGAAGGATATCAGATGAATTACCATTGTTTGCATCAAACCACCACATAGCCTGATGAAACTTTCTATTGCCTGGCCAAAACCACAACACTGTATGATAATGTTAGTGTAAACCTAAAAAGTACTGAGATGATTTGCAGGCTACTAGTAGTTCACCTTATCTTGGTAGAAACCTATCACGCTCAGAAGCTGGAAATACAGAGATGCAAGATACAATGCTCCTACTGTCTAATTCATGCAGAGGTTTTCAGAAGTGTTCTTGTCAGTCTCCCAGGATGCTTTTTACCTTCTTCAAACTGCAATTTTCTGACAAATATTTTTAGCCTATATTTCTTACCCTAGTCTTGATTTTGAAAGATTCTACACATGCATAATGAATATAAAAACTGTAATTTTGCAACAGTATGTATAATCTCAATGCATAAAAGTAGTTTTCCTCTCCATTCTACAGATACAATGTGACTGTGTTCAATTAAATTTATATAATTTTCTTTCTTTTTCCCATTCTTGAGTTATTTTTGTAGAACCTGTGCTATTATAATATATATATTTGCACTCAGGCGATGAGACCAAGCACTGATTTGAAGTAGATGAATGGAGAAATTTAGAGATGTGTAATTGCTGCAGGAAAGGAGAGGAAGGAAAATGTATTCAAATACTCACTTTGATGAATCTATGAAGTATATTACAAGAGCACCAATACTAAGAGCGAAGACTAAGACAACCTACAAAAGAAAAGAGAAGAGCAATTATTCAGCAACATTAATAATTTATTCTTTTACATATGAAAAAAAAGAAAACAAAAATAAATCATAAGCTAGTTTAATTTCAGCTCTGATTTTCTTTAGAAAATTACTCCTACTTGAACTTCAAACATTATATATTGTCATAGAATGCTTTCTTGCATTGAAAAAGAGACAAACAATCTGGCTTTATCAGATCTATCCTTCAGGATTCCTCATTGGTGCATAAAGTAAGAGTGAAAACAGATTAGACTGAACTTCCGTTCACATGGCTGTGAAACCCACAGGAAAACTGTAAGACTGCACTCCTGTCCAGTGAGACCACAGTGAACTTTTAAAGCAATACTTGATGCAGCACATCCTGACAGTGATGACTTTTGTTAACAGTCTTAATAGTTAAAACCACAGATGAGCACTGGAATAAAAAGCTCTTGATTCAATACAGGCTTCAGACCTCTTTCTGAAGCTGCTATATTATGAACAAGCCTGACTGATGATAACAATGCAAGGAGGGGACACACAATGCTTTCATTCTAAGCAGACCTGAGACACTCCTCTGCTCTCAGCTATCACTCAATGCTATAAAGGCAGCATCTGAAGCAATAATTATGTAATAATTATTACATAACCAAACTCTGAAGCTCTGCATGGCCAATACCAAACATGTACATACCTTCCAATAAAATAAACTCATTAATGTATTAATGTTACATAATTACTACTACTTGTTAAAATAACTATTCAACTGAAAGCCTGAATTATTTTTCCTTACTTTCATATCTTGCTGACCATAACATTTTTTACTTTGTGAATGTCTGAAAAGGTTATTTCGTCCTGTTATCTTACAAGTATCTGTTGTCTTATCTGATGCATTATCAGCTGAACCAGTGAGATCTGTCTGTCAAGTTCAAGAATCAAAGCCTGAAAGTAAAATTTTTGCTACCTAAGACTACTAAAATGTTAATATCTAGAGTTTAAATCTTCTTTCATTGTTGCAAGGTGAAATAAGCTATTAAATTCATATCAACTGGTAGGAGTCTCACCATCACAAGAAATTATAGTGCTGACCAGAACTTGTGGATTGTTATCTATACATACCCCAAATTATGATTAGCAGTGATCCCAAGGCCCCCTTTTTTTTTTTTCCTCTGAATTAAGATACTGGGAATCAAATTATCATGCACACTGTGCCCTACCTGTTGGAATATTCCAAGCTGCACACAATCATGCTTTGGATCTGAATCAAATCTACTTCATTATTTATTATCAATCCATTTCAAGGAAAGTCTTAGTTTTTTTAAAAACGGAATTTAAAAAGGTGCTAAGTGTTCTGAGAACACAGAGCTTACTTTTTTGGCAAAAGTTTTGATTTTGCCCAAACCAGTTTTAAACATAGATATTCACTTTTAAATAATTTAAAGTCAAGCATTAGTGAAAATGTTTTATTCTGCATTCTGTGGAATCATTTCTACTCTAACAGCACCCCCAAAACCATTATTAAATATAAGTATCTCTTAAAAAACAAACAAAAAAACAATAAAATACCAAAACAAACAATCTACTAATAACAAAAGAAAAGAAAAGAGGAAAATAATAACCCCAAAAAAGCCAAAGTACAAAAGAGATTTACCCTATGGCAGGAGTTTTGGGTTGTAGAATGCTGAAATGGCCACTTAATGCTGAAAATGAAATTTGAAAAACTAAACTTGTAATCCATTTGGGACTCTATAAATACTCTTCTCATTCTTTCAAGTTTCACAAAGTACACAAGGACTTTGTAAAACTTAAAGGACTTTTATTTTCCTTTTCACATAGCAGGTCTTGAGTCACAACATTCAGTCATTGCCTCCTACCCAAAGGATTCTTGTAGAGCAAACCCAGCATAACACTGGGTTAACAATCATAACAATTAATCATCACTGTCCTGCTTAAATGTTACTGAGATTCTGGCTGAGACCTTCCAAAACACTTAAGGCTTTTCAGTGTTCTGTGACAGTTCATGTAACTGCCACAAAAATGCAAATATCTGTATTTTGCAAGCAGCCCTAGATTCCCATGCCTCGGCAAACCGTGAGATATGTACGTATGCAAGACTTCAACATTGCCCTTCTGTAATATGTATACCTCATTTTAAATCAAGGCTTATTTTCTCTTCTATTGCCTTGAAACCTGTGCCTAACATGATTCATAATGTCTCACAGAATCTCAGAAAGGGTATCAGAAGAGAATGGAATCTTAAACTCCATTTCTTTTCCCTGCTAGCAGAGAAACACGTTTTTCCTTTACTAAGTGATGGAGAAATTGAGCTGACCTTGAAACCATCAAGTGTGTTGAAAAAGCAGACCTTGAACCAATCAGGTTAAAGTTATACTAAAATATAAAAAAGAAAGTAATAGATTTTAACAAACCCCAAACTCTTGTATGCTTTATGATAAAGTCTCAGATGCAAGGTTTTTACTGTATTCCCATCTAAATAAACTGGAGTGCAACCTGGTCATTCAGACAGACCCAGGACAACAATTACTGAGTTTGTTCTAGTGCTCCCTAGATTACCAGGGGAGATAATGTCTATTTTAGAGACCTTACTATGCTTGAGGGGTGTCACAAACATAGTCCCACACACCAAATTCACAGCAACTAGAATCTGAGGAAGGGAAAAACACTTATGTATGTGAATTGCTGCCTTTTTCATTAACTAAGTCAGGGCAAGAAGCCTGCTTGCTCTGCTCACTATTTCAATGCATTTGCCAAAACATTGCAATTGCTACACATCTATTATAACCCCTCTGTACAGAAGAAAAGAATCCTTTAATTTATAATAGCTTGCTGTTTGTTTAAGATGTAGAAATGTGCACTCATATGCTAACAGCTATACTGACTAAGCACTTACTAATAAATTAAAAATAAACACCTATCTTATTAAAGGAAATATGGAGAAATACATAGAATATTTGCTACATATCCCTAAATCTTTCATAAAAAATGGGAATAGACAAAATCCAACCCCAGATTTCAACAGAAGTGTAGAATGACTTTTTGAGGCAAGAGTCAGAGAAACTGCAGATAAAATTCATCTAAGGAAAATAAAAAATGTTTTGACTGATTCCAAGATGTTTTAGAAGTGCTTTGACTGCAGTCAAAATTTAGGCATCCATAATAAATACAAAAAGAAAAAAGAGAAAGCAAAAAAGGGGAGTTTTGATTATGGTGTAACAGCACAATACTATTGCAAGCACCAACTCTGAGAAACACTGTCTCAACTAAGCCCACCTTCCAGGCCCCAGCCTATGTAACAAAGGGATAATCCAAGTGGTGGCACTGTTCCCCCTACAACTCCTTAAGTGCATTTTGAATTAAAAAAGTGAAAATGAAAAGGCTGGTCACATTAGACAGGAGGGCTACAGTAAATAATGAAGAGCCATGTTCAGACTCTAGAGCAGGGACTTCAGTCTCTCATACCCCGTAACACTTGAACATTCCGTGAAAGTTGAAACAGAGCTCTTTGAAGTTTCAAAAGCAAATTCTTGCTTATACAAGATTAAATTATCCAAACATAATTAATACAAAATAGCATAGAACTCAAGAGGCAAAGCAGAAAATCAAAATGGAATAATCGTCTCTTTTTATTTTCCTCCAAAATTAAATATCAAATATTAAAATAGGAAGCATGCAGTGAAAAGAGAAAAAAACTTTCAGAAATCTCTAACTCCTAAGACCTCAGGGCATCAAAGACTTCTTGTTTTTTCCGACAACACTGTTCTGTACTATTCTTCAAAAACGTTTTTTTCAAATTCTTATTCTATGGTTAAACCATTCAACCCAAAGGCTACTGTAATGCTTAAAATATACTAGGTTGTTTGTTATTAATATTTTTTCGAAATTCACTTTTCATTTCTACATTCACAGAGTAAATTCTGTTAATAAGTTTTATCAGTTAATGTTAACTCACTTTTATCAACTGTGACTTAAAGTAAAATTCCATTCATTTTTACATTTGTAATTAGTTATGGAGAATGTAAATTATTTCCTATATGCATAAAGCTGAAACTTCAATGATCCATTAAACTTTTGTTACACAAAAGTTTTAACAAAAAGTGTTAGAAGTGTTTAACAAAACTTCTGTTACACAAAAGTTTGCTCTACTAAGATGACAACAGCTTGATGTTTTGATCTAACTTGGATGAAAATTTTCATACCTGAAATTAAAAGATACAATAAAGGTAAAAGGTTTGGTAAACCCCAAACGTCCTTTAACCATCAAATAAGAAATGAATTCTAGTTGTTTTATAGACAGAATTTACTTGTCCAGATTTGATAGGCATGAAAACCTCAAAAAGCTAAGGACACACCTGCTTCAAGTTACATTTCAGAAGTTAGGAATTGCTTCTAGCTTGGCAATCCCAGCATGAAGTTACAGACTCTAGATGTACCCACATCTGTGCAATTACTGCAATTTAACAAAAGTAAGACCTTCCTGACCATAGAAGATGCAGAATGTCTTACCTAAAATTGCTGTCCCACTAACTGACACCCTATAGGCAAAGAACAAAATTTGGAAATCATTCCATATAGGCAAAGCCGTAAGTGGTAAGAAATGCACTGCAGCTGACACAAAAAACTGAGCAATTTATGTATCTTAAATTAATATAAAGATAAATTAAGTTCTATTATTATAAAACAATATAGATGCTTGCTCTAAAAAAAAAAATCAGTGTTCTACCATTTTGTACTGTATTGCTTACTTTGAGATGTTTTTATTTCTGTTTCCTTTGAACGAACATGAACCAGTGAACTAAAGCAGCTGCTTGATGTCAAACTACAGAATCCAACAGTCACCTTCAGAACTTTGTGATTTGTACAGTCAAATAAAATGTATTCAGATTTTTACAGAAATTGGTAGTAAGTTTCTGTTTAGAGGCCATTTTTCCCAGTACACCCTGCCAGGTAACCAGGAGTAAAGCAGAAGAGAATTTCTTAAGTCC